ATAGCAAAACTCTCTCTACAAAGAAACTGAATCGGATCATGAAAAATCCGGAAATTCTGGTTAGAAAATCAAATGGTTCGCGACATTCCGTTTTGGGGGGCCTCAAAAAAAAAATGGGCTGTGATTTGAGACGATGCAATTCTTTTACCCTTTATAATCTGTTCGATATACATTGTAGAAGATCTTTCTCCCACCACGTCAAATTTTATAGCTTATGTTTATGCACAAGATTTCCACCAGGGTGGTTTGTGTGAATAGTAAGCAGCCAAGGTCTCTTTTCTTAAACAGGGTAGCAAAATTATCTATTGTTGTCAGTCTTAAACAGGATCCGGGATTGAAGGCCTGCGGCGGCAGACATCTACCCAAACTTAGGGGTAGGTGCCTTCTACTAAGTCACAGTGATCATTTCTTTACTGGCGCGTTTTTCCACCAGGTCCTAAGTCATGAACTGAAAGCAATCCGTGAAGCTTGTATCAAACTGGAGGTCGGGTACCAGCCTGGGATCACATTTATTGTAGTGCAAAAGCGACATCATACAAGGTTGTTTTGTCAGGATGGGCAAGACAAGGTAGGAGGGTGTCAAACAAATGAACTCAGGTCTGAAAAAAAGGACAAACGGAAAACAGAAACATCTATTGTCCACGTATCTTTTACTATTTTTCAAAGCTGCCTTAACACAGGATTAAACAACACAATTATTTTGCACATGAGGTGTTGATGTTGCACCTTCGTCACAAATCATGCTATGAACATCAAACCTACATTTTAAACGGTCATATCGTATTTCCTCGATTAAGCGCCTTATTTACAATTTCGGCAAAAAGGATGGGCGCCTATTGGAAGGAGGGAACTTACTCGGGTGGGGGGCGCTTATTAAGTTCTCCTGTTGGTAATCATCACGCGTACCTTAGTTCCACGCGGTTTACCCACAGAGATATAAATAAAGTGACAATAGAAACAGGTTTTCCTTGTACCCTACCATGAAAAAACGTATGGGGGAGGGAAGGGGGCGCTTGTTTGATATTTTGGACAATGGGGTGGGCGCTGATTAGAGCGTAGGCGCTTATTCGAGGAAATATGGTATATTATAAATAGGTTAGACGCACGAGATCGTCACGTGCAAAGTTGTCCGGCGTTTTGTTCGGCTTGTACGTGTCACTCTTTCTTTGAGGTTGATTGATTTGAAGTCTCTGCGTTTTCTTGTTTTTCATTCTTTAGTGTGGTAAAAGTGGCAACGTTCCTCCTGGAACCACCGTTGACACCGGCATAACACACCCAACCGAGTTTGATTTCTACCTCTGCAGCCACGCGGGTATCCAGGTAAGATAGTACTTTGCAAACTAGTCGGGTAGATTTATTTTCAATATTCGATTGCGAGTATCCAATGAAAATTCTCATTTTTTTAAGGCTCTCTGTCACGCTATTTGCTGTTTTTTTTAAAACAGCTTAAACGTTTTCCCCATCAATTGAATTCCAAAAATAATGTTCTAGTTTTGTTCCTATTTCCTGTCTTTTGTTGCAAGGGATGGTAAGGATGCACATGGATTGAAAGTTGGTTTCTGGGAAACTACCCTCCTACCCCTTCCCTAAGCTAACTTACTTCTCACTTGGGGCAAAATGTTGGCTTAGGGGAGGGGTAGTTGGGCAGTTTCTCAGAAACCTAAACTGATCCAAAAACATATTATGGTTAGTTCTCCCTGATTCTATTTATTTGAAATCTTTTTCAGACACTAACTAATGCCTTTAGCACAGAAGGTTTTGGGGGTGTTCCAGGGGGGTGTTCCGGGGGAGGGGGGGCTCGGAGTGTTCCGGGGTCCCGGGTTTTAGAACATGGCGATCATAGATGCTAACAGTCCGTACACCGTGATCTTATTAGGGAACCAGTAGACCATCTCACTACCATGTGCTGTGGGACGACAACAACTTCAAAGCCGACGAGATTCAATCCCTGACATACCAACTATGTCACACGTATGTGAGGTGCACGCGCGCTGTGTCGATACCGGCCCCAGCGTATTATGCGCATCTGGTGGCGTTCAGAGCAAGGTTCCACCTGACAGAAAGGGAACGAGAAAGGTAAGAGACTGGGCACAAGTTTGGTGAAAAGATTGCTCCCGTACTTTATGCGTCGCTGTCAGTAGCTTTTCTTAGGTTCGTAATTAAAGCGCGATCAGTCTTCGAGGAGATGAACGAATCAACGTAACAACAAATCTAATTCATTTCATCTTCACCTTTCCCGGGTACAGTACGAACTAATTTCATGACATCCCCAACTGGCTTGCTACAATCAGGGACAAAGTTGACACACTTGTTTATAATGGGTGCTTTTATCAATAATTTCATTCTGTTACTATTTCATTCTATTTTAACGCCGTTAATCCCCCGCACCCCCGATTCAATGTTGTTTGTAGCAAAAGAAGGACTTGAGGGTCTAAAATACAACATTGGTTTTGGGGGAAGGGGGTGGTGATGCACAGGGGAAGGGGATAGGTATGTCCACTGTTAAAAAAGGGGTCATTTTATAAAAGTGTCTCAACACTTATGTCCCTCGTTGTACCTCAATCTGTTAGAGCGCTACATCGCGGTATCGCAGAGGTCAGGGTTTGTTTTTTTCAGGCTTTTTTTTGGCAACTGCATAAGTTGTGTCGTTAACTGCGATAATCTTCTTTGCATTTATTTCTTCATTCCGCGGTTCTAATAAAATATATGAAATTCGTATAGCCATTATTTAATTTAGTATCAGCAATATACCTGCAATATCACCATGCGCGCCTTGTATCATTAATTATTATCAAGCTGGAAAGAATCAAGTGTGAAAATCGAACGCTACAGCACAGCTACGGTTTATTGAGTTATTTCATTTATATATTATTTAAACTTAAATTTACAAGGGATGTAACGCCTATAGTGTATTTCCCCGTGTACCAATTCTGCAATGATCAAAATTTTCGGTGTTGTTGCTTGGGCTGTCCTGTCTACGAAACGTGGGTTGTCTGTTTGCACTTAGTCGGAGACACCCCTTGTAACTCGTTTTTCTCTTCCTGTCGTAGTCCTGACAACGGCTCAAGCTCTAGCGGTGGTCATGGTGATAGCAGAAGCCCACAGATTTTGGCAAAAGCGGTTCAAGTTCATCCAGATATTCTTAAAGGCATGTACTTTGCTTGAGGACACATTCTGCTCAATACATAAAAATACTCTCGTATATCAAGGCGTCAAATTAATAAGGGTTTGTTAAACTGACCGTAATCCAGAAAAGAAATCTCTCGTTTTGTACGTGGAATGATATCTGTATTATTTAATGAGTTTTATAGCGAAGTTTTATCTCAAACTGATACAAAGTATCGTAACAACATAATGTACTATGGACTTGAACATCTCAGATGTACTTTTAACGAAAAGAATTTAAATTATATAGACTTGAAAACTAGTAAAATATAAGTGAATATTTTATTTTAGTGAATTAGATACTTAAGATTCGAGGATGAGGGCGATTGTGAGGGCGAGATTTGACGTCATTTTTCTCTCAGTTTACTTTTCCACTAGAAAAGTTAGCATGGTCATTTTTTAGCTTTTTTTATTGATGGCTGAGTTTAAGCCCTCTCCCGAGCACAAAATGATAAACATCTAACATTTGATAACTTGAATCTGACGTCACGACGGCTGTCGCGTTTTCTCCGCCAAAATAGAGACTTTAAGATCCAACGACGCAACGGCAACGAGAAAGTCGCTTAAAAAGTGAATTTGCGTTCTTTCTGTCTTTATAGCGATTTAATATACCTACCCACTTACTTTGTCAAATGTAGGCTAACCTTCCTGAAACTGAATTTCAAGCGACCATATCCAAGCTCAGAAAGAGAAATAAAATTTCGTATTTGCTTGTTTACGTCCTCCATAAAACGCGAATTTAGGTATTTTCACGTCGTAGTCGAGCAAAAACGGGAAAGAAATGTACAAAAAAGTGTGATGTACGTGCAAAGTTGTTGTTTTGCTTATTAAAACAGTTGTTTTTTGACCTTCTCGTTGCCGTCTGCGTCGTTGGATCTTTAAGTCCCTAATTATGCTAGTTCACGCGTGCTCGTTTCTTTATATTGAGAAAACCTTAGAATCTTAAGGTCGCTATTATAACTAGTATTTAACCAGATGAATATTAATGCACTATCGTACGCAAAACACCATGCTCGCATTTTTTGGGTAGAGCGAAAGTTGCTCAGAGAGACTACTTGTTGAGCCTACGGGGGGCATGTCATCAAAATATTTGCTGGTGAAAAAGTTTACGTTGCATAAGCCTCGACTTTATGCTAGTCCCAGTTCACCGCTGAGAATACGAAAACTCGAGCGAACAATTTTTTTACTATATTCTCAACCTAGTTGTTAAATTATTTTAATCTTGTAATTATTTTAATTTTGTAAATAAAATTAGAAAATAAAAAGTAAACTTATAAAATGTCCAAGGAAGTTTTGTGTCAAGGCCCTGGGCATTCTGTATAAAAACTTTGATCATTGTAAGTGGGATGTCACAAGATAATCCGAACAATATCCAAAAGCAGTTATTCAATGTCATCAAGATAAGATCTTTATTGGAGAAACTCGAAGTTTGAGGAGTAGAAATAATGAAAGCTAGAATCTGTCTTACTGATTTATTTCAAATTTACGAACTGTATACTATTTACAAGCTGGTAGATTTTGTTTCTTTAATTTAAATCGTAGTAAACAATTATAGTCTAATTTCCTCTCGACATAATACGACTCTTGTACGACACAACTCTTGACTCGGCGCTTAAGATCGTGCTACCCCTATAAAAACAATCTCATAACTGTGGCGAGCGTCGATTACGGACTGACGACTTGTGGAGAGCCTTCTTTTGTTTTTGTTTTCTTTTTTTCTTTATCCACCATTTTAATATCTCTCTAGAATTTCTTCTTCGGTCTATGTACATCAGATTCTTTGTGGGTTTGTACAGATGCGCCAACAGGCTGCCCTAGCAGCTTCTACTGACTGCTCAGTGGTACTTAACCAAATTGATTGCTTTCGCCGAAAGCAAAGCAGTCATCCACTCGTTTCTTTCATCCTCAGAATTGCAACGGAATAAACGCGTTCCTCCATCAATGTCACAAATTTTTATGCAGTCTGATTCTTCAATCGATAACGTAACAACCTCGGATATTCTAAGAATTAGTCCGGAGTAGGTAAGAACGCCTTTTTTGGTTTCATAACAGTGCAGCTTGTCCTCCAGCAAAACACAACGTCTTTTTCGCCAGCTTGGTTTCTTTAACCGTGACATTTCTCGCAGCCACAGATCCCCCTCATATGTAAGCAGTTTGATATTGTCGTAATTGTTGTTGACAAATTTCGGTAATAGCGGTAACGAGGACAGAGTAAGTGCCTGAAGATCGTAACTCTTTTTTCTCACTGGATCCGAGAATATCTTGTTCAAAATGCGGCATTTCTTAGCAGGTGTAGCTGAATCCGCGGGTTTCTTCAACATTACTTTAAGCTGCAAGAGACAATTTTCGCTTTTGGACTTGCGAAGGTTCGCCATATCTTTGATCTTGAACTGGTATCAACAGCGAAGTATTCTATGATATACTGTCCAATTTATAGGCTTTGAGGCTAGATACTTTCCCACGACAGATTTAAAAAGCTTAGGAGCTACCGTACAAGCACTGCGTATTTACTTTAGTGGCTTGAGCACGTAAGACGCTGACTTTTCTGTCACGCGCGATTTACGTGTCATTGCGTGGGTCTAGATATTTCGATCGGAATGTCAGTATAATTATTGAAGGATCATGACAATGAAAATATTGATCGACGTGATATTTCTACAGCGGGGTCATTGACCCTCTATGTGTTAATGATTTCGATATGGCAATTTTTTAAATTTAACGCCAATATAACCATTTATTTCCTCTCTTTTCGGCAGTTTTGGTCTACATGAGACCAGACCAAAACTGAAATGTTTTAAAAATGTATGCAAAGATTAATTGAAAAGAACGTAAAAAACCGAAACAAAATAAAGCAAACGACGATGAACACAATAACAGCAAGAGCAACAAGATAAAATGAACACAAACCCAGGTTCTTTCCGATCAGTGGATACGAAAATAGAATTAGGATATTGTTTAATCCGACGAACCGAACTGCCCGAAGTGCCAAGCTGTTCTTTTTTGAAACCGAAGTTGTCTGTATCAGTTTCCGATCATCAAGTGCTGATGTAGTGATGAAATCAGTGGAGTAAGATCTTTCACTTTCGAAAGGCTACTCATGAATTGCGGGCGATGTCCTCCTAAGTGCCAGATCTTGAACATGAAGCTGTTAAGTGGACAAGATAAGAATCAACATTAATTGCACATTACAGGCCTGCTTTAGTGTATAAACTGAAGGTGACATTGCATGTACTTACATACATTTGTTATGGCTCTTTTAAAAGTGCTGTTCCGCTGATTTACAATATTCATTTTAAAGCGATACAAAAAAATAAATGACGGTAAAGGAAAGTAAAAAGAAATTGAATATGATTAAAACTATTGGGTTAGTCATTCATCATTGAACCTAAGTTTTGCGTGACTATATGAACGTGTATACTGTGTGACGCCAATTCTGTACATAATTGACGCATGACCGAATCGTGGTCTGCCAGTCACGTTTCAATAGTTTTCAGAATTTTTTT